TTATGATTTAAACTTTAAAGGCATGACTCATCCTTGAATATTAAAATTATGTTTAAAACGTTTAAATATATAATTATATGAGTTGGAAATATATTTATTTATTTGCATTTATTTGCAAATGAAAAATTATTTACAAGAAAAGAAATTTAAACAATTTCTAATTAAATATTTAACATATTAAGAATTTAAAAAGTAAATAGTAAAATATTTGAAAGTTCTATTTTCAATTGAATGAAAAATTTTTAAATTTCAATGAAACTGCGCTTTTCAATTGGAGAAGAACAAGTAATTATTTCTCGAGCGATTATATCGGGTGCAATTTTTATCAAGTGCATAAAACGTGTCGTTTAGCGATAGTGCTTTTTGTACGCGACGAGCTTGTTATTATTTAGTATTGAATTTCATTATACGTACTAAATATGTTTCAATTTTTATTTGTACCGCACAATAATTTTAATAATAGAATTTTATTTTTGAAACAATCTCATTTTGTTTCTAGTTTTTTATTTTTCGGTCTTTTTTTCAATTTTATCTGTTTGACAATAAAAAAAGTTTGTCGTTTAAAAAAAAAAAAAAATTTCAAAAAAAAAATTGTTAGTCAATTTTAACAAAAATGGAAAGAAATTGTTTAAACAATTTTATTTTTCAGGGAGTTTTGCAAAACGAATTCAATGTTCCAGTTTGTAAACATAGTATTATTATTATAATGCACAATGTAAAAATAACGATGGCAATTGAATTTGAAAAAAACAATTTCATCGTCACTATGAACTTTTAAAATGCAAACCACTCCCAGTCTTGTCTTTGCGGATCGTTAATTCTATCGTGAATACCGATGATGGGGTTCTCATTTTTTCTAACACATGTATTTATGCAATGACACAGTCACACACTGTCATGCAACTGTTTACATGAGACAGAGACTGAATTATGTTGCTCTAGGTTCTCTTATAGGTGCATTAGTTCCCCATCAGCCGCTATCATAATAGTTGCTAAGAAAAGTTGAGTTTTTTCCAACTTCATTTTCTTCATATTTTTAAATAATTATCTAGTGAAATTCTATTTTTTTATTTCTAAAATAATCATTTAGTAATTTTTCAAGCAATAATTTCTTCTAATTTTTCACCAAAAAATTTTACAAAACTTTTATTTTCAACTGTTAACTAACTAATTAGTCATTAATTAGTAATTATAGCATGGAAATTAATAATTAACATGAATACCATACTAATTATTTTAACCGATAGTTAAAATATTAAGACTACAATTATTAGCGTAATTATTAATTAGTAATTTATTCAATTACTTTTTATATAATTTATTTAATATTTAAAATTTAAATACCTAATAATAGTTTACTAAACTAGAAAAAAATAAATAATTATTACTCAACTAGCTAATTAGTATTCACCAAATGTTAATTAATTAATCATCAAGGTAAGAATTAACAATTAACTAGTAGCTATGTATTACTAATTAGAATGATTATTTATTAATTAATACAATTAGGGCTCGAACCAGTGGAAGTATTTAAAAATACGGACTTTACGGAACAAAAATAAATTAAATTTTTCATAACTATAAAATCTTCATGTTTTATAATAATTAAAAATGGCCCAATGATAAAATTATTATTTTATATTATAAGAATATTGTACTTCTTCAAAATTATTTTCTTCATTTCAATTATTTTCTAGAATTTTTAACTAAAATTCTTCAATTAATTTTCGAAAAAGTTCTTTTGAGACTTTTCAAATTCATTTGTTTACAATACTCGATTTTACGAAATTTCAATTATTCGTAAATTCTTCAATTAAATATAAATATTAGAAAATAAAAACTTCAAATAATATAAACAAAAATTCTATTAAGGGCATTTGAACCATTATGACGTCACAGTTTGTGCAAAGCATGTATTTTAAAGCTGTGACGTCATAATGGTTCAAATACCCTTAAACTTTAACAAAAAAATTAATTTCAAAATTCAATTATTTCTAAAAATAAACGCTATATTGCTTTTAATATTTGATTATTATCTAAAATTTTAATTGAAATTAATTTTTTAATAAATTTTTATTAGAAAATTCTACGCGAATTCAATTATTTAAATACAAAAATAAATAATTTTTTAATAATTGAATGTTTCTTAAAATTGAATTCTCATAAAGAATTTTATCAACAAATTTTTAAATAATGTAATTCTTCTGACGAATTTTAATAATATTTTTAAGAATAATTGCATTTTTTGAGGAATTTGATTAAAGTTGAATTAAAAATAATTGAAATTCTCCAATGAGTTTTATTATTTATGAAAATAATTGAATTCCTAAAAAGAATTTTATTATTTTTGAACATAATTTAATTTCTGCGAAGAATATTTTATTACTATTGAAAATAATTGAATTTCTGCAATAATTTGTCATTTTTCCAAAATTAAATTTTTTCTTTTGTATTTTTAACCAAAATTCTTCTATAAATACATTATCTTGAATAATTTTTAAAAAAGTTCTTTAAGAATTTTCAAATTTATTTGTTTACAATATTTAATTATACGAAATTTCAATTGTTCGGAAAATTTCAAATTAAATATATATTAGAAAATAAAAACTACAAAAATAAAAAATTTCAAGTAAAATTGAAATAAAATTTTTCAAAAAAATTAATTCTTCTACAGAATTGTTAGTTAAAAGTATAAAAAAATTAAAATTTTCAAAGTTTTTAATACGAAACCTTTTCAAAATTCAATTGTTTCTAAAAATTCACGCTATAATCTTTTTAATGTTCAATTATAATCTAAAATTTTAAGTGAAAATAAATTTTTAAATCAATTTTTATTAGAATTCAATTATTTAAACAAAAAAAAATAACTTATTGAATAATTGAATTCTCATAAAGAATTTTATTAACAAATTTTTTAATAATTGAATTCTTTCGACGAATTTTAATAAAAGTTTTAAGAATAATTACACTTTTTGAGAAATTCCATTAAAATTGTATTAAAAATAATTGAAATGCAGCATTGAGTTTTATCATTTATGAAAGTAATAATTGAATTATTGAGAAGAAACTTCTAAAAAATTTGTAAATATTGGAATTCCAGTGAAATTTTTATTATTTATGAAAATAATTAAATGTTTGCATAAAAGTTTTATTAAAATGGTTTTTAAATAATTGTAGTCTTCTGGGTAATTTTATTAAAATAGTAGATATTGAAAATCATTGAAATGAGGAAAGTTTTTGAAAATAATCGAATTTTCGACAAGAATTTTTTTATTTATAATGATAATAATTGGGATTTTGTCGAGATTTTTTTTTGTAAATTTTGAATACAATTGAATTTTGTGATAAGAATTTTATTACTTTTAAAAATAATTGAATTTTAGCAATCATTTGTAATTTTTCCAAAAATTAATTTTTTTTTTAGTATTTTTAACCAAAATTCTTCTACAAATCCATTATTTTGAAATTTTTTTGAAAAAGTTCTTTGAGAATTTTCAAATTCATTTGTTTACATAATATTCAATTTTACGAAATTACACATTTTGAAGAATTTCCTTAAAATTGTATTAAAAACAATATTGAAATTCAGCATTGAGTTTTATTATTTATGAAAATAATTGAATTCCTAAAAAGAATTTTATTATTTACGAAAATAATTAAATCCCTGTAAAAATTTTATTAATTATGAAAATAATTGAATGATTGCGAAGAAATTTATAAAAAATTTGTAAAAAATTGAATTCCTGTAAAATTTGTATTATTCCATGAAAATAATTGAATTCGTTAAAAAAATTTTATTATTTATAAAAATAATTGAATTTCTGTGAAATTTTTATCATTTATGAAAATAATTAAATGTTTGCGTAAAATTTTATTAAAATTGTCTTTAAATAATTAAATTCTTTTGGGTAATTTTATTAAAACAGTAGATATTAAAAATCATTGAAATGAGGAAAATTTTGAAAATTATTGAAATTTTGACAAGAATTTTTTTTATTTATAAAGATAATAATTGTGATTTTATTACTTTTAAAAATAATTGAATTTCTGCAATAATTTGTAACTTCTTCAAAATTCAATTTTTTTTTAATGTTTTTAACTAAAATTCTTCTATAAATCCATTATTTTGGATAATTTTTAATAAAATTCTTTAAGAATTTTCAAATTCATTTGTTTACAATTCAATTTTAGAAAATTTCAATTATTCGGAAATTCTTCAATTAAATATTTATTAGAAAATAAAACCTTCAAAAAAATAATTTCAAGTAAAATTGAAATAAACTTTTTCAAAAAAATTAATTCTTCTACAGAATTGTTACTTAAAAGTATGAAAATAATACGAATTCATTAGTAAGCTGATTATAATTACGATATACGGTTAATTAGCATTTTTGACTTGGCTTCTTAGTAATAATCCTGCTTAATAGTCAATTTGCAAAAAAAATTATCAAATTATAATTAAAATTTTCAGCCAGAAAAAAGATATATTTGACTCAGAGCCAACTAGAGTTTTTATTTGTGTTAAATAAAGTGTTTATTTAAAACAAATAAATAATTCAGTAGGCTGTGAGAAAAATATACTTTTATTTAACTCAAATACATTATATTTGGTTTAAATGAAATTAATTAATTAACTAAAAAAAAAATATTAGTAAGCAAATAGATTATTAATTAGCAAATAAATGCCTAATTATCAAAGTAATGATTATTTACTAATTAGTAACAGTTGTGCTTATTAATTAGTAATTAGCATTAAGATTAATAATTATCATTGAGATTATTAATAAGCAAGATAATTATTAATCAGACAGGAAATACTCAATTAACAGAAACATCATTAATAATTAATAAGTCACTGACTAATAATGAATAATGAATAAAATTTATCAAGTATGTTTCAATATATCGAAAGAAATAATATAAATTAATTCGTTCCCACATTTCTTTATAATCGAAAGAATATTTCTTAAAATTAAAAATAATTTATTTTCACGTTACAGAGTATCTACACGACCAAAGATACGTTCTTCGGACAGATTTGAAATTGGAAGACGACCTGCGAGGTGAGTCTCGAATATTAATTTACCGATGAATCATTCACGAAAAATAAAAAGAGAAAAAAACCGCGACGGTTCCATGTTGTAACACTTGTTCAAGATGTGAAAGTGTACAATACATATACTATATGTATAATCAATAATCACCTTGTTGTTAATTTATTTTCAGAAAAACCCTATCACTGTAGAGTATTTAAATTTTTGTTTCAACATGAATTGATGAATGAAGGATTTTCTCACTGAAAAATATATTTATTTAATTTTCAAAATATTATTTAAATTTGTGACTAATTTATTTTTCGTATATAAAAAATTTCTGGAATATTTAATAAGATTGTCCCTATTAGATTAAAGAGCCAGTCTTTTCAAACACTTGTAATAGTGAATAATTCTCATTTTTTTTTTGTTACATCATGTAAATTCAATGCTTATACACTTGTGAGGTCATTCTTGAATAGCTGTTGCCACTTGTTCATATACTTAATATACTTTATAAATGATAAAAAAGAAGTGATAATATCTTAAAAATAAAGTTATTGTAAAACAAATTTTAAACATTTCCAGAAATTTTTCGTTTTTATAACTAAATAGGATAATAGTTTGTTTTTTTTACTCAAAAAAAAGAAAAATAAATGGCTTAAAAATAAATTTTTCATCTCAAAAAAAAGCAAAAAAAAATTATCTAAAAAATATGAAAAAAATGAAAATTATTATTTTAGATGAATGACAAATAATTAATGAGAAAATTCTTATTTTCAGAGGAGATTCGGAGGCAAAGGACTCTTCTCAAGATATCATTATCACTAACTTGCCTTTCATTGCTGGCAATTATTTACTTATTAGCGAGAACGTTAATTAAGTGGCAAAAAGTTAAAACCTTCCTTCAAAAGACTTTCAGGAAAAAGTGGCCGGTATGTAAGTAATGTCATACTATAAAGTTTTCTCGACCTGACAAATTTATTAAATATGGTAAACTAATAGAAGGAATTTTTTTCGAATCTCATTAAAAATTTTTTTTTTTTGACAACTATTTTTCAATATCGTATTGCTGTATCATAATTTCAAACTTCGCGCTCATCTACTAAAAACTACTATTTACTATTTTTTTTTAAATTTGTTACTATTTGGATACTTTTTAAGATTTATGACACTAAAAGCTACTTTTTTCTTTATTTTTTGGGAAAATTTGCATCACTTTAAATTCGCTAATAGTTAAAATACAAAAAAAAAATACTAAAAATTCTAATAAAATTCTTTACAACGATTCAATTATTTTCACAAGCTATAACATTTTTCACGAAAATTCGATTATTTTTAAAAATTTTAATCAAATTCCAGGCAAGAATACAATTATTTTCGCAAAAAAATAATAAAATGCTTCTCAAGAATTCAATTTCCTACTTTTAAAAATTGTAATCAAATTCTTCGCAAGAATTCAATTATTTAAAAATTAAAAAGATTTGAATAAAATTCTTCGCAAAATTTCAATTATCTTTATAAAAAATAAAATTCTTCTCAGAAATTCAATTATTTTTTCAAAAAATTGATAAATTCTTTATAAGAATTAAATTTTGAGAAATATTCAATTATTCAATATATTATTTATTCTTGTATTTAAATAATTGAATTGAAAAACGAAATTCAATGGAAATTTTAGACAATAATTGAATTGAATCGAATTGAAAATTTAAATTGTTGTAAAATTGTAATAACATCTAAATGTTTACTTTGAAAAATTATTAATTTATTTCTTATTCCTGTGAACAATTTAAATTACATTTTATTTGTTTACTTTTAAATACAATTGTATTTTTTAGGATAAAAAAATTTAGAAAATAATTCAATTTTTCAAAAATTTGAAATTTGAACAATATTTTGAAAAAATTTGAAAAAAAATTGTTATAAAACATGAAGAAATCGATCACTCCGAGTCTTCGACTCGGAGCAATCGATTTCTTCATGTTTTATAAATAATAAAAATTGCCGACTGATAAAAACTTTATTTTATATTTTAAGAATATTGTTACTCTAACTGATTAAAAATTACTTTCATCACTTCAATTCAATTATTGTCTTCCAGAATTTTTAACTAAAATTCTTCTTCAAATTAATTATTTTTAATAATTTTTGAAAAATTTCTTTGAAAATTTTCTAATCATTTTTGTTAACAATTTAATTTTACACAATGTCATCGATTCAATTAAATATATATTAGAAAATAAAAACTTTAAATAACTAAAAAAAAATTCAATTAAACTTTTTCAAAAAAATTAAATCTACACAATTTTCAGTTAAAAATATGAAAAATTAAAACATTTAAAGATTATAATTTGAAACCTTTTCAAACTCTCATAAAGAATTTTATCAACAAATTTTTAGTTTTTAAATAAGCAATAAAAATTCTTTTGATGAATTTTAAATAACATTTTAAAAAATAATTTCATTTTCCGAGAAATTCGATTAAAATTGTGTTGAAAATAATTGAATCTATGTAAAAAAATTTGATTGAATTGAGAAAAGTTTTTAAAAATAATTGAAATTTTGTCAAGAATTTTATTAAAAATTTTAAAAATAATTGAATTTAGGAGAAAAATTTTATTATTGTATAAAGATAATTGAAATTTTGACTATAATTTTTAAACTTTAGACCATAATTGAATTTCTGCGAAGAATTTTATTACTTTTGAAAATAATTGAATTCTTGAGATGAATTTTAATAATATTTCTTTTTAAATAATTGAATTCTTTTGCGAAATTGTATTGAAATAGTATAGATATTGAAAATAATTGAATTTTGATAAAGCATTGAAATTAATTAAATTTCTACGAAGAATTTTATTAAAATTATTTTGAAAAAAAATTGAATTGTTAAAAAGAGTGTCATTAAAATTTTTGAAAATAATTTAATTCTTGCAAGAAATTCAATTGAAAATGTAAAAAAATATTACGAGAATTCAATTATTTAAATACAAAAATAAATTTTTTTTTTGAAGAATTGAATGTTTTTTAAAATTGAACTGTCATAAAGAATTTTATCAGCAAATTTTTAAAAAAGTAAAAAAAATTCTTTTAACGAATTTCGAATAATTTTAAAAAATAATTTCATTTTTCGAGAAATTAGATTAAAATTGTATTGAAAATAATTGAATCTCTGTAAAAAATTTGATAGAATTGAGAAAAGTTTTTGAAAATAATTGAAATTTTGCCAAGAATTTTATTAAAATTTTTGCAAATAATTGAATTTAGGAGAAAAATTTTATTATTTATAAAGGTAATTGAAATTTCGACTATAATTTTTAAACTTTAGACCAAAATTGAATTACTGCGAAGAACTTTGTTACTTTTGAAAATAATTGAATTCTTGAGACGAATTTTAATAATATTTCTTTTTAAATAATTGAATTCTTTTGTGAAATTTTATTGAAATAGTTGATATTGAAAATAATTGAATTTTGATAAATCATTGAAATTAATTAAATTTCTACGAAGAATTTTATTAAAATTATTTTGAAAAAAAATTGAATTGTTAAAAAGATTTTCATTAAAATTTTTGAAAATAATTTAATTCTCGCAAGAAATTTGTATTAAAAATAATTGAAACTCTGCAATGAGTTTTATTATTTATGAAAATAAATGAAAACCTATAAATTTTTTTATTATTTATGAAAATAATTGAATCTGTTTAAAAAAAATTGTTTATTTATCGAAAATAATTGAATTATTGCGAAGAAATTTATAAAGAATTTGTAAATAATAGAATTCCTGTGAAATTTTTATTATTTAATTAATTCATTCAGAATTGAAATTTTAAAGCTTTTGTACTGAAATCGGTTTGAAAGCTCAGATAATACTGTACGATACCATTGTGCAAAATGAAAAGAAAAATGTTTTAGTAATTGAAAATAAATAGTCATGAAAATGGAGAAAATAACAAATTTTTGTTCATTTCAAAATAATTATTTTTTTACAAAAATTATTTTTTATGATATAAATATTTGTAAACAAGAATATAAAATGTATTTTTCTTTTTGAAGCAGAAAGTGAAAAAGCACAAGAACAAAGTTCGTGACGAGGTGGATGCTGGAGCGATTAAGCAGAATGGATTAAAATTAACGATGCCAACAATAAGTGGAAGTGTTGCAGCTTCGGAGACTACTATCAATATCGATGATGGCACACCAAGTACCGCAAGTACCGATTTATCAAAGAATAATGCCTGTGAAGATAATGCACTCGATTACGCCTATGATAATTTGGCAATGACACCCAGTCCAGATACTTCACAATCAAGAAACAAGAGGGAAAGTTCTTTGTGAAATTTGCTTAAAAAGGTTCGTTTTCACGAGCCTTTTATTAGCAGAAATCGAAAAATCATTCCAATCACGACTGACGTCGAAATTAATCATCAAATTCATCAAAATCCGTCCACTTCGAAATTATAGAATTTTCAATTCTTCATAATTCGAAAAACTTTTTACATAGAAAGACATTTTCAAATTTTTTTGAAAAACTAAAAAAAAATTTCTAATCACTAATTTCTTTTTAACACAGTATTTTTGAATTTTTATATGAAAAAAAATTTTTTACAGAATCTAAATAAACATTTTATAAAATCTTTGATAGAAAAAAAAAAATTTTTGTAGAATTTTCTACACAAAAAATGTAACAAACTTTCTATACGATTTGATATAAAAGTATTTTTAATACGAGATTTTTGAAAATTTACAGTCAAAAGAAAATTATAAGGAATGTAACTATGTACACTTGAAAATCGGACTCCAACTTTAGATCAAAAGATTAAAATTGTATTTCAATCTCTTTGATGTAAAGTTGGAGTCCGATTTTTAACAGTGTAATATTTAAATATTGATATAAAATAGTATTAAAAAGCAAAAAAATAATAAGTGTTTAGAAGTAAAAAAAATATTCCGAATTTGAAAAGCTCAGATTTTCGTATATAATTACGATAAATTAACGGTTTTAGTAAAACGAGAATTGTATTTTCTAGAGAACCGTGCGGCTGTGTGACTTAATGTTGTTAATTTTAATTCGCTTTAATAATTCCCATTAAGAAAATCTAATTAAACTGAATTTCGTTTCATTTTCGCAAATTCGGGAAAATACGAATTTTGAAATGAAATTTTCTTCTACATCTGATTATATTGTTTTAAGTTCATTATCATTTAGGACTCTCATTATAAAACAATAGTAAAAAATTGATAATAATAAAGTACATGTTCCGGTAATCTGTTCGCAGTTTGAAGTTAGTTTTTGTTTGCTTTTTTGTTTCTTAACTTTTTTATAATTTTTCTTTTCAAATATTTTCAATTTTAAAATTAATGTATTGAAAATCATCCAATTGTTGCAAAGAATTTTATCAGAAAATTTGATAATAATAGAATTCCTTTAAAGAATTTTATTATTTAGGAAAATAACTGAATTCTCGCAAAGAATTTTATTAAAAATTTTTAAAAATCATAATTAAATTCTTTTGAAGAATTTCTTTGAATTTTTTTTAAACTAATAGAGTTTCTTTAATAATTTTTTAATTCCTCCAAAGAATTTTACTAGTTATAAAAATAATTGAATTATTGCGAAAAATTTTACTATTTATAAAAATAATTGAAATTTTTCGAAGAATTTATTAAAATTTTAAGAAATAATTAAGTTGTTATGAAGAATTTTATGGAAATATTTGAAAATAATGAAATTTTTTTGAGAAATTCAAAGTTGTTTCGAAAATTATTAAATTTCTTTAAAGAATTTTATTAAAATTAATTAATTATATTCAAAATAATTGAATTCTTTCAATTTTTATGACAATTGTATTTAAAAATTGCATTGAAAGTAATTTAACTTTTATATAGAATTTTTTAAAAATATTTTTAGAATAATTGAATTATTTTTAGAGAATTTTAAATTCTTGTTGAAATTGAATTTTATGGAAAGTTTTGAAAATAATTAAATACTTTCATGTAATTTTATTCAAAGTTAATTAAAAATAATTTAATTCCTGTAAAAATTTTTAGTATTTATAAAAATAGTGGAATTATTTCGAAGAATTTATTAAAATTTTAGGAAATAATTGAAATTATTATTTATAAAATTAATTGAATTCTTGCGAAGAATTTTACTATTTATAAAAATAATTGAATTTTTTCGAAGGATTTATTAAAATTTTAGAAGAAAATTGGTTTTTTTCGAAATGTGTTAAAAAATTTTTTTTTTAAATTGAATCCTTCCGAGGAATACAATTAAAATTGTTTTGAAAATCATTGAATTTTTGTAAAGATTCTACTATTTAAAAAATAATTGAATTGTTTGATTTTGTTTCGAAGGATTTATTAAAATTTTAGAAAATAATTGAATTCTTTTCAATAATTTTTATAACGAATTAAGAAAAAATTTAATTCTTTCGTGAAATTTTATTAAAAATAACTGAATTTTTGTAAAGGTTTTGCTATTTAAATAAATAATTGAATTGTTTAGAAGGATTTATTAAAATTTTAGAATAAAATTGAATTCTTTTCTGAAATTTTTATTAAAATTTTGTTAAAAATAATTTAATTTTTGCAAAAAATTTTATTATTTATAAAACTATTCGAATTCTTCCGAAGAATGTTATCGAGCTCGCTTATAAGAAAAAAGGAAAAAAAAGTGAAAAATTTTCCTAATGGGAATTATTTTAATTAATCGAAAAAAAGGATGTTCATTCGTTTAAATATTTTTAACTTGTACAGAACGTATATTAATAAGCCTAGAATTTAAACGTGATAAAGTAGAATTTATCTCTTACTCCCTATCAGCCATTCCGTCCATGAAAGGCCTTCGGAGCAAAATCGAGCGCAAGTAGTTCGTTTTTGCATAGGTCAGTTACGTTACACATAAAAGTCTTCTTTTTGCTAACTAGTAAATCAAAAAAAAAAAAAGAAAGAAAGAAACGAGATTATTACAAGAATAAAAATGTTACAACTTTGCTTCAATCGTAAAAAAAATTTATAGCGCACAATTACAACGACTCTTAATCAGAAAAAGCTCAATTCACATTCAACAGTATTACGTAGAAAATTTGCATTTTCTAAAATAAAATTCGTTTATTTTCATTTACAAAAATCAAAAGTGAAGGTCAAATTTTCTCGCTCAATACTTAGTGTATAAAAAGCATTTGCTCAAAATTCTAAAACTCTTTGTAGAAGTATTTAAAAAATTCCCGAAATTTTTTACTATTTACTTAATGAATTATTACATAATAATAATTACGTATATTAATTATTTATTTAATAAATAATAATTTTTTTATTTAAAAAAAATATTATTTATTTAATAAATAATAATTTTTTTATTTAAAAAAAATATTATTTACTTAATAAATAATAATTTCTTTATTTAAAAAAATTATACCAGTTAAATTTTGCTTAACTATTTTTTCATAGAAATAAACTTTCTTATCAAAAACGAAATAGAAAGGGGCAAAAGTGAAAAATTTAAAGTGCCTTTAAAAGTGCCCTCGACTTTTAGATGTAACGTCAACTGGCCTTAGTTTTTTTTTAAATAGAATTAATAGTCATTTACATCATTCGTCAGTATTTATTTGATATAAAAAAATAATCATCGTACTTAATCGCACACTTAAGTTTTAATTTTTAAGTTCCTATATTGTAATTATTCGAATTTATAATAACTATATCATTTTTAACAGCGATTGGTTCTTAAAGGGACCAAGGTCTTCCAGAATTGAGGATATTATTATTTTTTTTCTCCAAGTTACTTTTCCAGTAACTATAGAATATTATTTTATATACCAGTGTGTAAATAATTATTTAAATTTTATAATAATAGACAAGTGGCCTTAGAAACTGCTTTTTTATTTTCATTTCTAAATCGAATGCAAGTATTCGACAATTTTTATTCTACATAAATATTCTACTATAATTTATTTTACTAATAACAAAATTTTTATAAATTTTTATTTAAAAAAAGTTAAACTCAGTTTTAGTATTTTTATTTATTTTTATTTATTTTTTTTTTTAAATACAGAAATAGTTCAATTACATTCGAAAGTTTAAATATAAAAAGTATAAAGAAATGTAAAATTTTTTATTGAATTAAAATTAAAAATTAAGTTATTAAGAGATTAAAAATTGTGTAAAAATGAATATTGGAAATTATAAATAGAAGATTACCAAATAGAATTGCGTAGGTAATCAATATTTTGTAAATTGAAAATCGAAGAAATAATACCAATCTTTTCAAAATGAGGAAATAAATTATAATTCTAGAAATAAAAATGTACAACGAAATTATCATTTTCTCGTGTGTTTTGAGAAAATAATCTTCTATAATTGTAATGGAATCTTCGAGGTCATTCGTTCAAACTACATATTGATTAAATTAACGTAATTAGAAAGTTCATTGTTAAACCTACAAATGCTATTGTAATTGTTAAATCATTTTCGTTATAGAAGAATGCATGCGAAACAAACAAATAGTGTTCAAGATAATCAATTTTATAGAAAGAATCAGAATTCCGTTCCAAAATAGTGTAATTTCACTCTCTAATGGAGTAATTTTTATTTTTTAAAAAATAAATAAATACAAAAAAAAATAAAAAAAAAAATAAAAAAAAAAAAATAAATAAAATAAATAAAAAACGAAATATGATTAAAGATATTTTCAAAAATTACTGATTCCGCACTGAAAATTAAAAACTTAAATTTTACTTTTAGAAACTTTATAAATTATTTTCTCCAACAATAACGCAAAATTATTTGTAATAAAAAATTAATATGAAATAAATAAATTTCGTCGGTATCAACTAGGATCATATTTTTTCGAGTCTGAAAAAAAAAATTTTTGATTGATTCTCAAAAGAATGAAGAAAATACTCCTGAAGAGTAAAATTACACTCAGCGTGAACTATTACACGTATTTTGTAAATATTAACTCTCGAAAAAGAGCGAAACTATCTTCAGAAAAAATCTCAGAAAGAAATTGTCTAACGAAAATATTTTGTCAATCGAAAATTGTTACAAGAAAAATATTCCAAGAAAGATATTTATCAATTTTTATTCAAAAAAAGGAAATAAAAATACTTTTAAAAAATTATTTCAAGAGAAAAGAAAAGAAAGAAAAAAAGAAAAGAAAGAAAAATAAAATTTGTTCGTGAAACAAAATAAGTAGAAAAATTCAATTACTGAGGAAAATAACAAATTTCCAATGACTTGAAAAAAAATTCCAAAAACGAAGCAAAATTTGTTAAACAGAAAAATCGAAAAAAATAAATTATAGTAAAAAGTGAAAAGAAATGCAAATAAATTTGCAAGAATAATCCACTTGGATAATTAAATATTCAGTAATGAATTGACACATTTATATATTGTACATATATTTTTAGAGTAAGTACTGAAAAATTAATTTAAGTATAAACGTTTATAAAACGTAAAATTATAATCAATTATCTATGTAATATTATTTTTCGTGTGACATGCAAGCAATATTCAGTAGTAACATACGTCGTCGACTTTCTAACACAGAAAGCGATGATTGTTAGGATCGTACACGGTATAATATTTAGAGTTACTCCTCTTATTGCGTAAATATACATACATGATGATATTTGCGATTATATATCGCTCATGTAAACGCAAGAGGAAAGTAGTTTTTTTATACAATTAAAAGAAGATGCGGAGTTTAAAAGCGGATATTAGTCAAAAAAAAATTTGCTCATAAATCGCTCAAAAAGAAAAAAAAATAAATAAAAAACCAATAATTACGTA